GCGGTGATGCCCCCCCCCCGCCCCCGCCCCTCCTCCCCTCTCCTCCTCCCCCCTCCGCTCCTCCCTCCTCCCCACCCCGCCCTGGCACCCGGCGGCAGCCCCGGCATGTAGACTGCCTTTGCCAGGCAGTGCGAAGCAGGACGCCACCTCAGGGGGTCCGTGGCCTCTGTGTGACTTTCCGTGGGGACACCCGTAGCTCACTGCAGTGAAGAGCAAACAGAATCGGCACTGCTTTCTCTGGAGGGTGCGTGCATGTGTGTGCATATACATGCATGTGTATGTGTGTCCATGTGGGTTGTGTGTGCACATATGTGCACATGCATGTGTGCCCCTGTGTATATGTGTGTATCGGGCCCACCTGTATGATGTGTCTGCGGGCCGCAGCCACGCCTGCTCACCCACGTGCTCCGTGGCCGCGTTCCTGCTACGGTGGCAAAGACATCGTGGCTCACACGCGGCGCCCAAGGAAACCCGACGCAGCGACGGCCTGGTCCTTTACGGAAGTCCGCCGACCCCAGCTGGGTAAACGCCGGCTTTTCCTGCTAGCGCCCACGGCCAGGACCTGACTGCAGCCAGATGGTGCGCATGCATCCCGCAGGGAGCGGCTCACCGCACGGCCCGGACAGCGTGGGAACTGGGTAGGCCCTGGGTGGGGCTGGACACCCCACACACGCGTGTGATGTTCTCAACGTGTCCGGGTGACGTGAGAGGAAGCAGGCCACCACAGGTGAGCCCGGCACGAGGCCCGAAGGACACAGGCGACAGACCTGCTCAGCCCTTTCCGGAGCACAGGGCAGTCAGCAGCTTTCCTGGAAACTGGCTCGTGGAGACCAGCAGATGGCGAGGTGGTTCCTGGCTCCCACGTAGTCAGCCATGGTTGGAGCCCACTCCCCTGCTAGAGAGCTGCCCGCGGGGGCATAGGTGCCTGAGAGGAGAACCTCGGGATCCCGGGGGACTCTGCGGCTCAGACCAGACCCTGAGGAAGAAATGGCCTCCCCTGAGCCTGGACACGGTGTCTCCACGGGACAGCCGGGCTCTGACTGCCCAGGACAGCACCCTAAGATACCACCCAAGCCGGAGGTGCTGAGTCAGGGGTTGCTCACGGGCCCTGCCGCCTCGCAGGGATGGAGCGATGGGAGCCTCACCAGCAGTGTCTGACCCGGGGAACAATCGAAGAGGTTTCCTGAGAGGAATGAGAGACGGGACAAACAACGCAGTGTTATAACTCTTCAGAGTCGGCCGTTTATTGTGGGCAGCACGGAGACGACGCAGCGTCACAGCTCTTCAGGGTCTTCTGGAGGAGACTCCGGAGATGAGATGACGCGGTGTTGCAACTCTCCAGGGTCTTCAGGGTAGTCCAGAACTTGTGGGCCAGGGATCGTAGTTATATACATGCTGGTGGGCAGTGATTGGTTGAATGAAGGATTGTAAAAGGTGGGTTGTGATTGGTTGCTTTTATGGACCAATCATGAGGTGCCGGATATGCAAATCTGAGGGATTCTAAGCTCACCGATTTGCTATGGGAAGTGGCCAATCAGAGTACGGTTTGAAGGTGAGGTTTTTGAAGGGGAGCCGATCGCGGCCTTTGGCATTGTGTAATTGCTTTGTGAGAAACTGAAACCGAAGGGCGCTTTTCGCTGGAGCGCAGCCTCCCACGCAGCAGGTGTGTGGCGGGGCGGGATGCTGGCCCACTTGGTAGAGCTGGGGTCCCCCAGGCCAAGTCCTCACCACAAATGCCCAACTAGTTCCTTGAAAGAGGTGTGCATCTCGCCTGTAACACCCACCTGGGAGAGGGGCATATGATTACATACAACGTCATACACACGGGGTCTTCGGAAAGGTCATCGAATGCTCATTTCAACATTATGTGTGGATCTGAGAAAGCTTAGGCTAACCCCACCCTTTACTCTCACTTCTCCACGACCTTTCTGAAGTCTTCCCAGTACCTCCAGAGAACCTGACTGATCCAGCGCAGCCTCCGGTCCCCAGACGGCGCCGTGTCCCCTACAGCAGCAGGCCTCCCCCGCTCGGGCTGACGGTCTGCTCGTGCATGGCCCTGCCAGGTTGGGGCTAGCACCTCCCTGTCTGTCTCAGGTCTCCGTTTTCCAAGACTCTCCGGGAAGTCTGCCTGTTACACCTATTAGCCTTTTGACTATTTTTTTTTTTAAAAGAATTACTTATTTTATTTATTTATTCATTTATTTTAATTGGGCCAGAGAGACACAGAGAGAGGGAAGGTGAGAAAGCAAGCCACCGGGTCCAGGACCTGAACCACAGTCGGCACGTGGGAGTCCAGCGCCCCAACCACTGCACCGCCTGCGGGTGCCAAGTTCTGACTGTTACTCACGTCACAGGTATTTTCTTGTAGCCAGTCGCTGTCGCTTCATTTCACCCTAGACAATGTGAGTTGTGAGTCTTGCTTCCGTGACAGAGATCCGACTCGGAGCGACACAGGGCCACGGCAAGCAGCTCAGACAGCCGCCGTCTCCGTAGCACCGGCGCTTGCCGGGCAAAGCCACGTCTTCCTTTAGGTCCTGGATGCACAGGCCTTCTTCACAGATCCCCAGAGTCTGCTGAGCTGTGCGTCTCAGGTCTGAGCTTTGCAGTGTCTCTGCAAGTGAGGTTGCAGGGGCTCCGTGCAGAAGCCGCAGGGAAGC